CTCTAGCATCTCAAAGACCATGAGCCAGACTGAAGTATGTTTTCTGTTTGTTTGTGACTCTGATGAAATGAGCCTTCAAACTGGAGCTATTTAAAATGGCCCACAGCAGAAATGCAAGGCTGTTCACATCCTGTTGTTTGTGTAGTTGTCCTGTTTGTCCTTCTGAACCAGGACATTGTTTGATAGTATGAAGGCGTAATTCAGGCTAAAGCAAACAAATATTTGAATCTTTTAGAATAATTCCTGTTTCATCATGACTTTCACCCACATCGAGTCCGTTAAAACAGACAGACAAAGCGGTCCATTTTGTGGCCTGGCTCGCGGACGTTTGTGTTACAGCGCACAGTTGTGCAGACAGACAGTGGATGTAATGAGAGATGGATGAAGTCTGTTGTCTTCAGGCAAGATTCTGCCACTCAGCTATGACACTGGACAAATATGTGTTTGTCTGTGTGTATTCATCTGTGTGAGTGTGTTCACGTTGCTTCCTGTGTATAAGTCCGCCTCATTGTATGTTCCTGCTTGTGTGTGTCAGTGTGCACCCATGTGAGGAAGTGTGGCATTTTTGTGCCCAGGGTCAGCTTCCGGACATCAGCGACCTTTAGGCTAGCGTACATGGATGATGTCATCAGCAGGGGACAGTGTCAGGTTTTGCTTGGAGTGTTTGGCGTTGTGTTTCTGCCTTTGTGTTAGTCACTGCTGAGTCACTCTCTCTCTCCAGACTCTTGGTGAGAAAAGGTTACGTGTTACAATTACAGGACTTTTTAAAAATGTGTTACCCATGTTATATCATGTAATGTGTGTAGAAAACATACAGGTCATTATATAATAGTAGCTTTGCCAAATTGAAAAAGGCTCAATTAAAAAGATTTGTTTTCATTTTTAGTTAAACCTCCATTGATCAATAGTTTTATTAATAATAATACAAAATAAAACAAATTGGTGTAATCTATGTAACTGACAGTGACAAACCCACCAGAATTATTACCGGCCGTTTAGTCTCAACTGTTGTGCCCAGGTTTGTTGACATCTTTGCTGCCCTGGTCAGCCTAAACAAAACTGTACGCTGTCTGTGCAGCACAAAGCAGCAGACGGGCACAATTAGGAACTAGCTGATGTTGAACAAGCAGCTAAAGAGCCAGATAAGGTTTTCAGGGTTTGGTAGAGACCAAAACAGGACTTATTTATTATGAAACTGTAGTGGGAACATGTTGGACGAGGCTATGACCTAACTCATTCATCAATGATGCAGCTTCAAGAAAAAATATGTATAGAAGTAAAAGTAGGTTTGGTCCTGTAGGAAATGTCAGTCTTACAGCATAAAACCCTGTAAATGTTTATGACTATGTCTAGTTTACACTCACAACTGCTGACAGGAAGTTCTGAGTTAAGTTCCAACAGTTTTCAGATGAATGTAGTGGTCAAACATTTCAGCTCCACAAAAGATCGAAGTAAAAGGAAACACAGTACCTTCAGGATTTGTTTATCTGTGTATATGTACATGCTGTAGGCTGAGTCTGCATTTTTTAGGTATCTGAAATGAACAGAACAAATATAAGAGCAGAAAGTAAAAAGATAAAAGCTAAATATAATTTTATTGCTGCCATCATTCATTTTAAGCATTAATACAATGTTGTAATGCCCCACAGGACAATCATTGTCTACATTAGGCAGTTTTTATCATATCTGGCCCAGCAGCTCAAAGGTTTTACTCCCTGTTCCTCTCTGACAAGCTGTAGAATCTCCTCTTCATCTTCCTCCTCCTCATGTATTGGTTCTGATCCCTAAAGGAAGGAGAGAAAAAGGAAAATGGTCATAATTAAACAGCATTAATGTCGCCACTTTGCACAGTCCCTAATGTTAATTGGAGAGACTACAGTTCAGCTTTGTCCAGTTACTCCCAGCGTTTGCTAGCTGGATTAACAATCAGTTTCTCTCTCCATTTCCTCCTGCTTTCCCAAAATAGTGGAGAGAAACTACAGTGAGTGGCTCCTGAGAGTCCCCGCGCTCATCCATTGCTACAAACATTCACCTCCACGAGGGTTCTCTGCAGAGGTTTCGTCTGCTTGTTCAAATACATTTTATTTCTGTGCTGTATCAAGTTCCAGACTTCCTGCATTTATATAAACATCTGCAAACACAAAGCCACAGGCAGTTACACAGAGGAGCAGAAGGGACGTGCAGGTTATGGCTAAACTCACATCTACAGCCTTCAGCCTGTTGTTCAGGTTTTCAAGCCTATTTCTTCAAAAGCAGCACATGTGTCTTTAATTCCTGAGTGGACCCTCCACTTGAACACACCTGCTGTTTGGTGTTTATACGTAAGTTTGTGATTCAGAATTCTCCAATTTATGGCAGCTTTCTTCACTGTGCAGTCTGCAGAGCTCATGGCAGCCTCGATCTCTAGACCTCAACTTGGCGGCGTGTAGCTTTAGACAAGGAAAGTCCAGTTTGAAGAAAATGAAAAGATTTTTTTAAGATGTATCAGAGACACAGGCATTTTTTAGGTAAATATTAGAAATATGGCATTCACATAATCAGCACTGAGCACACATGTAGTTCAGTGGGCAATGCAGCACTTTGCTGGATGATGTGACATTTCCTGGCACGAGGTTCAACTTGTTCTCCAGACAACTTTGTATTTCTTTTTTTTTTACCAGAGCCGTCTCCTTCTGCAGCTCAGTCGTACAGTTGGTCTGAGCACAGTCCTTAGTTGACTAGTATATAATTTTAAGACACTTTGCAAAACTTTGTAGCCTTGCTGTGATGTGTCAGATTGTAAAGAGAAGCTTTAACTGAGAATGAAGAGTTGACTCTGGGCTTCTCAACTGAAATCTGAATCATCTGTTTTCAGCCCTACAGAGTGGGTTTATTAGGGTCTAGACATGGAAAGTAACCATCTGGTTCACACACTCCAGCGTACTTAACTGACATGCTTCTCCTTTGTTCAAATGAATTGCACAGTGCTAAAATAATCAAATTAGTAAAAAAAAAAAGAAAACATTATCAGGGTAACAACAGATAAGTTGACTTTCCAGTGTTGAACATGCTACAGCAGAGACCCTCCAGCTTTCTTCTGGCTCGAGGCCTCAGTGCAGATCGTCTCTCCACTGAGAGTCGATTTGCTGCTTGTGCAGATGGAAGCTGTTTCCGATTGTGCGTTATATGTGGCTCATGTTCAACGAATAGCTTATTGATTTTTTTTCTCTCTGCTCGCTGGAGTTCAGATGTTTTGCTGTGCTTGTGTGTGTGTGTGTGTGCGATATGTACCGTGCTTTTGTACTGTTTGTCTGTTTAAACCAAGGCACACAAGTTACAAGAGCGTGAACACATCCTCAAGCACAATCACACAATCATTTACGCACTCCCATGGACCCAGACTCATTCCTACCCACATTCCATGGTTGTTTAATCAGTTCCATTGTTATTACCTGTGGTTGAACAGGCTTAAACCTCAACCTATCAGGAGGTTCAGTGGCGTGTTAACAAACTCCTGCCCCTGCTCCCTCCGCTGTCCTCTCTAATGCCTCGGTAATAGTGACAATTAGGTACTCCGCTCCACTGGTTAGACGGCTAAGCTCGGGCCCTGTGGCCCATTAATGGCGAGCTGAGGTAATACAGACTGAATGAGGAATCTTGGGCCTGATTGGATTTGAATCCCTGCCAGTGGGAGGAATTTGCTTGTTTGTAGGAATGAAAATCATTGCAGGAGAGTTACTGGCTGTATTTGTCTTAACTGTAATTGTTCAGCAGAATGTCGTGGACGTCTGGACGTATCCGATGTCAGTAGGATACTGGCACAAGAGAGAGAAGCTATTTTGAGAAACTAATTTGGAATTATTCTTCTACAACTAATAATGTTTATTTACACTGCACTCACAAAAACAAAAGAGCTTTCCAACAGACAGGCATCTGTATGTCAGGACAGTACAAATATAGAAGCCAATTAAATGTTCAAGTCTGTTGGATGAAAAGTTGTCATTTCACTGAAAAGTCCACCGTGGGAGTCTTGACACCGGATGGTTTTTATCCAGCAGCAGCAATGAGCATTTTGTCCTCAGCAGCCGAGGGGATTTCCTGGTGGTGATGTGTCTGAATGTAGCTGAGAGGTCGGCTGTGGACCGGAGAGGCCACGGCTGCAGCCCGATCACCACACGGGGTCTGAAAATGTCATGCTCATTACAGCAATAATACCCTTTACAATGCTGTCATCCCCACATCGAGACACATCGCACACACACACAGACACACACACACACACACACAAAGATGAAGAGGAGGATTGTGTCAGAGCTGCTGTCCTCAGCAGTTTCTCACTGACTTCCTGTTGTGAAGTCTTGGGTTGTGCTTGTTTTGAGCTCTTGTTAGAAGTTCAGCTTGAGAGAGGAGCTTTGTGTTAGTCCAGATAACTTTGGCCCCCAGACACTGGCTGTGTGTGTGTATCTGTGAGTAACATGAGACCCTGCTACAGAGCTCTGTGTTGCTCGTTGCCCTCTTGCTGCCTTTAACTGTCCTAAAATCCCCAGCTGTTTGCGGTCACTGCGGTTTTGTATCTTGCTACAAATTTCTCTCTCCCATGTCCAGAAATGAGCTGGAGGCCAATAAATTAGTTTGACACTGCTCTAGGAGTGTACTGTGTGAGATTTTTTTTCTTTCCTTTGTACATGGCAGAAACCTAAATGAGTACTACACATATGAAATGTCTATTATTAAAGTTAGTAATATTTGCAGACACTGCACAATGAGTAGAGTTAAGTAATATGTTGTCTTCTGTTGTATTTTGTGCTATGTTGCAGCGTTGCTCTGCTTTACCACAGCATGAGAATGGTCAAAAATTAAATGGGGTGCAGCAAAATACATATTCACAAGGTTTCAACACTAACAAATCTGTTATCTTTCCTCTCTTTCTCAGTTACAAAGAACAGTGTTCAAAGCATTCAGACAGCAGCTTCTCATTTTCAGTCTCTGCCTCACAAACATCCCTGGTGGTAGTTCAGGCCAGATGTCACTTTTAATTCCATGACTGTTGTGTAGTTAAAGTTCTGTCTGCAGCCATTATGTGTTGACTGTAACATCTCTACATGGTTACTAGTGGACTGAGTGTTCCTGCAGCTCAGACTGATCTGTCTTGTCTCTACCAGATCTCATCACATCAACTTAAGCCACAAATTTCAGTCACCTTCTCCAAGTAAAAAAGGTTTTGAAACAAGACCTTTAGTAATTGGTTCAAGTAGACGCTGACATATAAGCTGTGTAAAACTCAGTAGTATCAGATCGTACTCGGTATCGATGTTAATGAATGGGACACGCACTTCTAAGGAATCACTGATTTGTGACTGACTAATCCTCTGCTCCTCTGTTCTCTTTAGCTGTTTCCTGTCTCTCTTACTGGTCGCTGCTGTGGTTTGGAAAATCAAACAGACCTGCTGGGCCTCACGACAAAGAGAGGTAGGACACGTCTTCATCTTGGTTAAGGTTATGTGTGTGCATGTAGAATGTGTTTCAATATGTCACAATGTTACAGTGTCTGTATCCATATACTGTATTTGCATGCAGTACATGCAGAGTATTGTAAAGTTTGTGCCTCACTTTGCTACATGCACGCACATGCAGAGTATTGTAAAGCTGTTTGTGCCTCACTTTGCTACATGCACGGTGAGCTAGGTGCAGTTATCACATAGAGGACTAAAGTAAATAGATTTCCACATTTGTGAAGAGTCAGCCAATGTCACAAGTCCTGGAAAAAAAAACTGCTTAATGAGCATCGTCATGACAATAAACAAGGCCGATCCCCTTTATCAGTGGTCCTTGTGAACCAGTTAACTCAGACCAGGTGATGCTAAATGAAGAGGAATGGAGTGATACATCACTAAAATCCTCAAAAGATGCAACATCATATTTACTCCTGACCCTCCCACACACAACACACAAAAACACAATTTACATCCCAAATCAAATTAACCAGTTCCACTTTTTGACTTGCTGTGGGGTCTGTTCTCATTCATTAATAACCCATGATCTCTTTCTCACTTGTTTAGTGTTTTACCAGTGTTTTCTGTCATCGGGGAGGAATCTGTGTTATTAGAAGCAGCGATGATAATAGTCTGCTGTTATTGGTGCAATCCATGCATGTTCCACAGGGAGCTATTGTGCTTAAATACACGTGTTGGTTTCTGGTTCCTTCCCCCACCCTGCTGCTGTTCTGCCATTATGCAGAAAACACTGCTGCTCTCATGTGCAAATTAACATTCAGTATTTAAATGTTGGTGACGCGTTGTTGCTTTAATAGTCTTTCAAATGAAGTGACTTCAATTAGAAGGATTTGTAGTCTGATTGAAACTTTACCATTCTCACTGGGAGATGTTTAAGTCGCTGAAGTGTTGTTGCCATCGTCTGGTATAAGACATATACAGTTAAAGCAGTAGTCCACAGGATTAGTTATACTGTAAATGGACTTTACAGATTTTTACAGAATAATGTCTAGATTTCAGTTGAAGCACATTGGTTTTGACTAACTCTAGTGATAAACCTATGGTTCGAAAGCTGCCAGCAACAGACAGACAAAGATAGTAACCAGTTGGGTAGTAGAAGATGTAGCAGCTAAAGAGCCAGACATTGTTCTCCACTGTTGGTGAAGACCAAAAAGAGACAGACTATTGTTAACCCATCAGGTGGCTAGAGGCACAGCTCCAAAGGAACACTAATGTTGATTTGTGAACAGAGCTGATTCTTGTGTTTGCATCCTTTTTTTTTTTTACCCCTGAACATTTTTTCAGTTCTTTGAGTTGTGCACACGGCTGTACAGTTTACAGGTTGGCATGTATTTCCTGCACAGTGATTGATATATGTGATGCATGTTTAGCCACCTGTGACCCGACTAGCACGTTGTTTGTTTAGCCCTGTTTCCCCAGTGTGAGCAGCGGTGTAGCAGGTGCTGACAGGCCGACCGACACTTAGCTACATTATTCATGAGAGCTGGTCTCATATCACAGCAGAGCTGCAGTGCTGCATTACCCAGACTCCCTGCTATTTCTCTGGCTCTGTCTTTCTTTGTATCAGTCTTCCCTTTTTCTTCCTGGGGGATGTTTTTTTTTATCATCTCTCCCTTCGATAACAGAGGATCTAATAAATGAAGCCCTTTAGTTTTAATGGATGAGTCCTCACTCTGGCGATTGAACTTTTTTCCCATTATCATCTACAGTTAATGTTGTATTAGCAATAAAGTCGGTTACTTTTTTCACCTCATAATTAATTCATTTAGCCTGGCACAAAGGAAGCAAATCAAAAGTGTGATCCTTCACTTTAGCGTCGCTCGAGCAGTGGCTGAAAGACAAAAGAAAACACTAGATAGATTTTACTGGGCAATGGTACTCATCCAATCTGAGACGGAGGCGGTGACATTTCAAAAGATTACTTAATTTTCTTCTCCAGTTGTTACATAACAAGAAACCCTTTCTAGATTCATTCTTTAGCTACTTTAAAAATGTCATGACTGAAACCAGCTGCAGTAAGCAGGTGAGCTATGGTACAAATCGGACTATGTTAATGAGCCAAGTGTGTGCAGAGAAGCCCTTTGACTACAGAAGAACAAGAAGACCACAGAAGACAAGTCTAATGTCATCGTGTCATCTGTGCTGTAAAGCCAGTTTGTCCTGGTTGAGGAACAAACTGAGGAAGATACAGGGTTGAGAAGAAGACGATGCTGCTAAGTGTTATGAATTCAGATTTTTGTGTAATTGAATATTTTAAGTCTGGGCATCTTTGCTTAGACTGCTGCCCCCGTGACCCGGTCCTGGATAAGTGGAGGAAAATGGATGGATGGATGATTATTTTAAAACTTTACAAATAGTCTTTCTGACTCTGTGTACCTGTGTTTTTTGTGTGTAGGAGAATTAGTAGTGAGTGACCTACTGTCTAAGCCATCAAAGAGCCATCCCAGTATGAGATCTGATCTTCCTGTGTGTCAGCAGGATCACAGTGTGTGAGATGTGGGCAGCGACTCAGTATGGATGATTTTTTTCCCCTACTCAGCTGCATATATTTATAGCTTTACATTATAATGTGGTCTCAGTAATAGATGTGCCTGCAGCTGCTTCAAAGCCAAGGCTGTATAAAAGTTAGTGTTCAATTTAAAAACATCAATACAATGTCACGGTGGTCTGTGGTCTCTTTTGGGGCAAAGTCTCTCGCTTCAGGGTTGTGTCACATTTAGACTGAGAACCCACCTGCTCTGATCACTGGGGTTTACAGCTGTGCTGAGGCACAATGATGTAAAACTATTACAGTGTCTGTTCGCTCAGGTTGCCATGTTGGAGTCGCTCTTTCCAGTTTTCCTGCAGTGTGGAAGGATCATCTGTTCGCTGATCCCTCTCTGCTCTGCTCTCCAGAGAACAGCTCTAGTCAGAAAGCACAGCAGAAGGTGAAAATGGGATTTCTTCACTGTTAATTATGGATCACAACAGCCAGAAGACTACTCAAGAACCTGGGTATTAATAGAGCTGCAGCTTTATGTTAATTGCTTTTTTCTCATACTTTTTCTTATTAGCAACGATTTTTGGATTTGAGATCAAACAATCAAGAGCTACTTTGAAATTCTAATGGAACAGAGGCAGGCTGCGCAGGATGTCTCTGGTTTTCCTAACAGGGCTGCTCCTGAAGAGTGTGAGTCAGTGAGTGTGTGTATAACTGCCTTTGTAAGAACCAGCTTGAGTTTTTATGAGTGAGAATCCTTTGGCCTGTCCTTCACAGGCCAGTTTGAGAGCTCAGGTTAGACTCAGGTTTAGGTCAGGGTCAGGGTGGGGGCTGGCATTCAGCTGTGATGGTTGAGCTTAATGCTAGAGAATGCCTTACAGTCTGTCAGTGAGTGTCCTGACAAACACATATTGTGTGTGCATGTGTAGAGTGAGGTGGCATTTGAAATCAGCTAAAGCTGTCTCTCAATCAGATAAACAAGTCAAAGACAAATGAAAAGCTAGAAAGGCAGCAGGACTGAGGTCCTCTCCTCCCTTTTGACTTGATTTTTCACCACTCTCTGCTTCCCTGCGTTAAATCTCTCACATCAAATTACTAATTAAATATTAAAACATAACTTTTATGGTCTTGTTTTATTAAGCTGTATGAATATTTGCATAATAGAGCTTCAGTAGTAATAGTACTAAACCTTAAAGGTACTTTGTAAAGTAAGCTACTTGATTAGGCTAATTTAACAACTGAGTATTGAATATTTTTATTTTAAGACTTTAGACTTTTTTTTCTGATCTGAAAAATTATGCAAAAAATGTGTGATCCCATCCAAACCGTTCAAAATCAATCCCTGGGCCTTTAACATGGATGAACAGTGGATGTCCAGTGTTATGCTTTAAAGTCAAGTCAAAATAGAAGAAATGTAAAGTTGAAATATATTCTGATAAAGATAATAATAATAACAATAAAGAAAGAAGCATACATAGAATAATATATAGAATTACTGCACAGAAACTCACTGAATTGTAAAGAAAAAAGACCCCAGTTTAATAATTAATCATTAGAATCCATTAGTAATGCCTCTAAAAAAAGTCAATGGCTGCCATGTTCTTCTCATTTGCCACTTCATCGATGATAAACACACTAAAACCTCTCTCGGGCTTCTGTCCATCTGTCTCTCTATAAAACTTTGTTTTTCTCTGTTTGTTTATTCATCTGGTCGCTGGAGCGTTTTTCAATTCACATCCCAGACAGATGTTGCCAAACATCTGTCCTGACAAGTTGCCTAAAGACTTCTCAGTACTTTTCAGCGCAGCCGGCTTCATCCTGGCCCTCCCGAGGACAGACAGGCCTCACTCTGGGCTGATTACACTGATCTGTATGGCGTCTCCTGTTAACTGACTGCACCCCCCCGACCTCTGTGTCTATTACAGGAGCTGCCCCTCGTACATCAGCTTGATTAAATTAGATGTTTTCACTCCTTTTGCATGAGGCAATTAACATACTGTGTCATTTTTCTCCTACACTCATTAAGGAATTACACTCGAAGATACTCCGCTCTGAAAACAGGAGGGTGAAAACACAGAGCATAATGAAGAGAGCTTGATTAGAATTTAAGTTTTAAGGCTGTTTTGTTTGTGCAGAACTTGTCAGCACTGTTTTATACCCAATAAACTGGCTGGAGGAGCTCATTATTCTACTATAAATTGGTTTCTGAGTTCTCGTACAGTCTAATTTCAACTGCTGCATGATGAGTAAAGGTGCTGAAGTTCATCTAAATGACAAGATTGTGTCACAATTACAGAATTATTGAACCAAAGCTATTTATTAAACATTAAGTAGGTAATACTGAACATCTGAAATGTTAATACAATTTTGAATGACGTTACAATGTGATTATACTGCTTCAGTGGCTTTTTATTTTCAAAATAAAGGCTGTGGCTTCTTCCATTAAAACTGAGAAGAAGGTTCCCACAGTTCTGCAG